CCCCCCCGCCACGGCCAACTCACGCAAGCCCTTGAGAGCTGGTGAGGGGCTGTGAAGTGGCTGCTGAGAACGCAGGCCCCAAAGACAACTTACAGGAGACATCCCCTTCCACAGGCCCAGCAGACTCTCCGTGCGAACCACTGTCAGGAGCAGGGCGAACGCCCCCACGCGCCTGGGCCTGCAGACAGGGCAGAGGTGGGGAAGGAACACGCCACGTCAGACTATTTCTTCATGAAAGACCCCTGCATGCAAAGACGACTCTGTGCGGACCCCAGTATCCGCCTCCTCCAGATCCTCCCCATCTGGGGATGACTCCAGCTGCCTGGGGGCTTAGACTTTGGCAAGCACGCGTCTGTCTCAGCCCAGTGACACCAGTGAGAGCAATCTGAGGGCTAACCACTAGTCTTACACACTGTCGATTCCCCACAGTGCTGAGCCCAACAGGGGGCACAACACACTCCACACAACTGGTATTCATGCCAGCCAGTGCGGCCATGGCACGACCCGCCAGCAACATAAATCTGCCAGAGGAGTGTGATTGCCTCCAAAGCAGACCCTGTGGAGCTGCTGCTCAGCTCCGCAAAGGACCCGTTTAATTAACAAGCAACGTCAACGATAAATACCCACGGAGAAGTGAGTGCAAATAGCACGTGAAGGTTGGGCCTGCCAGTGTTGCTCTCGGAGCACCCCACGGAAGAGGCGTGGCTTTCAGGTGGCCTGTCTGAGAAGCTGCAGGGCAGCAGGTCCATGGTGAGCCGGGGGCTGTGGGCACCTACCCCTGGGCTGCAGGCTGGGCAGCCTGGAGGCGCGTCTTAAGGAGATCCAGAGGCTGAAAAAGGACAGTGGAGCAGGTGCCACTGATGGAGCCGCACACAAAGGCCTTGATCGCCGGATGTAACTGCAAGAAAGAGAGCGGGGTCAGAGAAGGGACATGCACCGCTGGAATGCCAAGGAAGGGACACAAGGCACGCTGCCAGAGGCAGCTCTCCGAGGTGTGTCAGCAGAAATGTCTCGCTGGTCTAATTCCTGGGGTGGTGCAAGCAGTTGAGGCGCTTGCCAGTGAACTGAAGCTTGGGGCCTGCCCAGCAGCCCCTCAGAAGAGAGGCCTGCGATCTACTTCTGGACAAACCCTCCGCCGAGAAGCCTCGGGGCACAGCTCTATGACACACAGGGAGCTGCATCAAGCGCCGACCCGGGGCAGCTGGCTTAGTGGCACGTGAGGTTTGCTTCTCCTGAGGCAGCACATCCGCTGCCTTCTGTGAGGCGTGCACCGGCCACCCTTCCTTCCCTGTCCTACTGCACACCCCACTGAACAGCGCTTCCACTGGAGCTGGCGGCTTCAGGGCTCCCTGGGCTGTGGGGCCTGACGGGACAAATCAGGGGAAGAAGCTCAGGGTAAGCTGAAAGATAAAATGTATGAGGGGGGATTCAGAAAGTTCAGGGAGAGATTCCATTATCTTTCAACTCCATTTCTCCTTGGACGTTCTCATGTGCATTCCCTTACACTTTTTCCTTTCACTATGCTCTGTACCCCAGGAGCCCCTCCTGGGTTTGCGACCGCTCCCTTCACTCAAGCACAGATATACACACTGGCTCGTGGAGGAAGATACACCACACACACACACACACACTGCCATCGAGTGGATATTAAATCATAGTGGCCCTGTAAGACAGGGTGGAACTGCCCCTTTGAGTTAAAAAACAACAAAACCATCTTTCTCCCGAGGTACGCATTGGGCTAGGAGCCACTAGATCAGCAGTCTGAAACTACCAGCCACGACTCGGGAGCAAGAGGGGCTTTCGACTCCCTTAAACAGTTAGAATCTGGCAGTTCTCCCTGTCCTGTGGGGTCACTGTAACTTGGCACTGACTCGATGACAGTGAGTTTGGTTTGAGCTTTTCTCCGGAGGAGGGGCTGGTGGTTTTGAACCGCTGACCTTGTGGCTAGCACCCCAACATGCAACCACTGCGCCGCCATGGCAGGAGGTCCTCAAAGACTGAATGGCCTTGCCTTGAGCACCTCCCTGGGGCCTCCGCTTCCAGTGTACCTGGAATGACCACAGCTGTGAAAATTTGAAACTGAACCAGCAAACAAAAACCCTCTTTTCTCAAAGTTCTATCCCAAAGGACCTGCTCATGTGTATGAAGTGTGCACTGTCATTTTTCAATAGATGGCATCACGCTATCAAGATGAACACAAAATCATCTGGTAAACCCATTTGATAACAACCCGGAACTGGACTTCGGGGAATCTGCGGAGTTTGACCCACAGAGAGGAGAGATCATTCCAAGTTCTATCAAATGATTAAGTTATAACTGGAGGGCCAAATAAGTTCCGACAAGCAAATCCTGGAGCTCCTAATCACTTTTCAAGTAGATCCTCCAGCATGACACAGAAGGTCCTGGGGTGGCCAAGCCACTGGGAAACGCAAGCAAAAGAGGCAGCTCTCAACAGGTGACAGACACCAGCAGCTACTTGCACCCTCAAGCGAGGGACTGCCTGCTCTGAGCTCACCAGTGTCCAACTGAGCTCCCCGTTTCTGAGCCAGCCCCTCTTACCTCCACAGTGAGCCTCTCCCTTCCAATGGCACCTTCTCTGCCCGGAACCACACCGGAAAGCCTCCAGACCAGGCAGCCTGGACTCCACACCATCTCCACTTCCTCAGGCTGCCACGAGTCTGCCCAGCCCTGCTTCTCCACTCACCAAGCCTGCCAAGTCCCACCAGGGCCCTTTCAGTGCATAGCTTGGTGAACGGCAGGCGGCCTTGCCTCAGTGTTTGTTTTTGCTTCCTGAGACACCACTCTCTCCTCCCCTCGCTACTCCCCTCTGGAGACTTGCCCCTCAGATGTTTATTCCTCCCTCCCTGGGCAGTGCCCCTGGCAACCTTACTCACACCCAGTCTGGTCCAGGGCTCCTGCCCAGCCCTCTCTCCAGACTGACTCCTGTGGCTCAACCTCCCCTCCAGCGTGTCTGCCGCTCCCCCAGCCCAGGCCCTCCAGACATCCAACGTGGAGACCTGCGAGACACTGAAGAGCCCCGGCTCCACCACGGTCTTTCAAAGCCTGCCCACGAAACTCCACCCTAACTGTGCCAGCCCATCCTCCACTGTGCTCCCGGGATAGCACGGGGGCACTGGGCGAGGCAGCTTCGGTCTTTCGAAAATACTGTACCTAAGTGTTTCGAAAACTATGTACCCACACGCAGCAGACAGACTCGAGTGCATGAGGGGGCGGTGCGGTTTGCAAACACAAGACCCCCGGGAGTTAGGTATCCCAAGCCCATCACAGAAGGGACATGCACTTCCACCTCACCTCGTCAGGAATCCACTCTCATCCACATTACTGGCCGTCCCCAGGAACCTCAGATGGCATCTCTCCCCACAACCTGCCCCTTCCCGGTGCCTCGCCCAGTGAACGAGGACCCATCTGCTCAAGCCAGAGACTGGGCGTCATCCAGCACTCCACCCAGGCGCCCACAAAGCATTTACACCCCGCCCGTCCCACCCACCCCCAGGAGCCCTCCGCGGGCTGTCGGCCTCCGGGTCTGCGATGGCCGCTTCTCCCAGCTTGTTAATTCCACGCGGTCAACTTCCCATCTATGGTTTCCTCTAACCCCCACTTTAGGAACCCCGGTGGCGCAGCGGTTACGAGCTGGGCTGCTAACCGCCAGTGCGCAGTTTGAAGCCTCCAGTATTAAGAAGGGGCTTTCCACTCCCAGCAAGAGTTATGGTCTCCGAACCCCCGAGGGGCAATTCTGCCCTGCCTTATAGGCTTGAAATGAGTTGGCATGGAGAACCCAGTCATCCTTTTATATGGTCCCAGTGGGGGCTCACCAGCCCCCTCCTCTCATCCCTGAAAATGCTCACATGTGGCCTGTCTCAACTACAGCACTGTCTAATCCACTGCTGGGGGGCTTCTGGGAAGACACCCTAGTTCCAGGAGCCTAGGATGGGGGCCCTTCCCTGGTTCTTCCCCAGGCATTTTCCCGAGTTTACTTGGCCATTGCCTTCAGGAGTGCGGCTCCGGCAGAGGACTGCGACCCTTTGTCCCTGCGCCCTGAGAGTGGGGTCCAATGCAGTGCTCAACAATGGCTGAGGAAGGACTCTGCTCACCTAACAGGTACTCTGCCCACGGCTCGCTGGCGGCTCCTGCTCAGCTGGGCAGGCCCTGCAGCCCCATCCTTGGACCAGCTTATCTCCCACACATGATGGTGTTTGTGTTACGAGCTACTGACATCCCCCCTCCACCCACTCACCGCGGATGCAGTAACCTGCTTTTTAAGTTCTTTGTTTTCACAGCAGTGTTTGGACATTATTGGCTCAAGTATTACTTGCTGAATAAATAGACTCATTAAGACTGGAGCCCCGCATGTCCTTAACATCATCATTTCCCACAGGGTATTACAGAGCAGAATGCTAAAAAAAAAAAAAAAGTATAAAAATGAGCCCCTAAATGTGTGAAAAGAGGGAATGCTAATAGAATTGCTAAAAATCCCAAGCAAAACAAAATGTCTACTTTTCACGATGAATGGAAATGGTCTTAAGGCATTGTTCCTGATAGAAGGCTCACCCAAAGACAGTGAACTTGATTTTTTAAATAGCTCTAAAGTTATTCTAGAGAAATAAACAACAACAAAAAAAACAAACCCACTGCCCTCTAGCGGATTTCAACTCTTAGGAGCCACCCTATGGGACAGGAGCACAGTTAGTACTGCTGGAGTACTAACCCTCAAGTTCAAACCCCGAGTCCTCTCCACAAAGAGCAGGATGAGGCTCTGTTCCTGTAAAGATGGACGGTCTTGAAACCTATCCACAGAGTGGAATGATGACAGTGTCATTTTGTTTTGTATCTAATAAGGCAGAATAGCATCAGAGGCAGTAAATCTTTATAGAAGCAAATGGTCTCTCACAGTAGCTGGAGGGTGAATTTGAACTGCAGCCCTTAACCTCTGCCCCACCAGGGCTATTTATGATACACACACAATGCAAGCTCCTATAGGGCAGAGTAGGTAGAACTGCCCCTGTAAGTTTCTGAGAATGTAAGTATTTAGTGGAGTGGGCAAAAAAAGTAAACAAAAAAAAGTCCTCAAACAAACAAACCAGAGTAATTCTTTGTCTCCTTAAGGTGGGGTAAAAAGAGGAAACCAATTAGAGGATCTACATATAACCTCCTCCCTGGGGGAGGGACAACAGAAAAGTGGGTGAAGGGAGACGTCAGACAGTGTAAGATATGACAAAATAATAATAATTTATGAGTTATGAAGGGTTCATGAGGGAGGATGGGGTGGGAAGGGAGGGGGGAAATGAAGAGCTGATACCAAGGGCTCAAGTAGAAAGCAAATGTTTTGAGACTGATGATGGCAACAAATGTACAAATGTAAATGTGCTTGACACAATGGATGGATGTATGGTTTGGGATAAGAGTTGTAAGAGCCCACAGTAAAATGATTTCAAACAAACAAACAAAAAAATGTTTAAATCCAATTCAAATCAAAAGTCTACAGCTGACAGGTCCAGATAAAATAGTAAGCATGTTTACTTACATACCCAGGGCTCAACTAGAAAGAAAATGCTTTGAAAATGATGATGGCAATAGATGTACACATGTGCTTGATACAACGGATGTATACACTGTTTTAAGAGCTGTAAGAGTCCCTAATAAAATGACTTATTAAAAAAAAATTTTTAAGATGCCAATCTAGGGTCCGGGCCTTTGCTATCGCCTTTTAAAGGATTAAAAAAAAAATCCACTCCTCGCGCGGGACGTTGATCAACCCAAAAGGTAACTGGGCGGGAGAACCAGCCCGGGGACTCAGGACTGGAGAACCCACGAGCCCGGCCTCCACGGCCCCCTCCCCACCAGAGCACCCCCGCTAGCCGCTCACGTGTCCGAGGGCTCGGCCGCCCTCAGCCAATCCCGACGCAGACGGGGCGTGGCGTCGCAGACGGGGCGTGGCGTCGCGCGCCCGGGGCCCGCACCCTTTCGTCGCCGGCGGGGGACGGGAGGTGGAGACCCAGGGGAGGCCCACGACCAGCCCGCAGCGACAACCAACTTCGCTGACGCCCAAAGGGCTTCCCAGCCCCGGGGCTGCCTCTTTAGGACCCAACTTTAGGAAGGTCGGGGGCCACCCCCAGCCCCGTTCCGTTGGGCCCGCACCCCGTTCCCGAGCGCGCGCGCACTTTCCCTATCAGCACCCAAGGGGGTGGCTGGGGCGAGCGACTCGAGCAGTTAACAACTGAGAAGGCGCAGCGCAGGGCTGCGATCGGTGCGGCTCAGGGTCTGTGAATGGGAGTCGACCCGGCGGCATCAACACAGCCCCCAAGGCCCTGGCAATTTCGGGGATCGCCACCCAGAGGCCCCTGCTGCGGCGGGACCTCAGCTTGCCCGTCCCGAAGGCCGCTGAGCTCCTCCCCTCCCTCCACTTTAAGGTGGCGGGAGTCGAACGCCCCTCTGCAGTCCCATCGCCGCCGCTGCACCCTCCAGGAGCGGGACACGCCGGTTCCCGTGGGCCACTCGCGCTTGAGCAACTACCTCAACCTCCCTTCCCGACCCACCATAAGCGTTTCCACTGTGTCTCCGACATCCTGAGGTTGCAGCAGCGCGGGCCGCGACTTCTGAATCATTGGATCCGGGGTCGGGGAGTGCACCGGGCTCAGACCCGGCCCTGGCCAGCTCGGGGTGGCGCCGCGTTTTGTGCTCGCGGACGTCTGCGTTCATTCAGGATCCAGGGAGCCGTCGGGGGTTCCCGGCCCGCGCTTCTCGGGGGGTGCGCCCTGCGGCCAGCACGAAGCTCCAGGGCGCCGTGCCAGCCGCACCGACGAGGCCCTCGCCGCTCGTCACGCGCTCCGCAGACACCGCGTCCCTCCTCCCGCGCCCATCCTGCTCCGCCGCGGGCTTGTGGACCAGAGGCGGGGCGTGCGCATCCGGGGGTTGGAGAAAACCGGAGGAACTAGACGCAACGTCAAGGTTTCACTTCCGGGTCTGGGCGCGCGCGGCACGCCCCTTGAGGGCCTTCTCGTCGGCGCCACCTCGTGGCAAGGTACGGAACTGCAGGACCCGCGGCTTCCCAGCGCCCGGGGGCTCCGCTGGGTCGGGGCGGCGAGTTTTGCTTTGGGGTGGGTGGAGCATCTGAAGGTATGGTCGTCCGTATGTGTGAATTCCTTTACTCGCGAAATTTAATCTGCAGTCCCTACATCAGTCCTTTCAGGGGCTTTCCTAGGCATGCGCAGCGCAGCGAAAAATTGGAGCCGTCTGGCGCTGGCGCCCTGCCTTTTGGTAGCCCGCATGCTGTAAATAAGAGTCCTTCCTGATGATCCACTGGGTGCCTTATCTTTCACGGGATCATCTTTTGCAAAGGCACCTCTGCCTTTTTGTGGGTGGTTTCGCCGGTTAAAATTTTAGGCCCCTTGGCGTCAGGCTGAAGTAAGATCTAATATATCGCTATGCGCCAGGAGGCCTCGTATCCAATGCACAGTGGGGCTATGGAGACGATGGAGAAGCCGCTGTCTGGATTCACGGGAGGACGACGCCTATAAAAGGCACGGTGGACAGCATTATGGTGAGGCTGAAAGCCGAAGTAATCTACAGCCACGTCATCCAAGGCAGGAACAGGAAAACCCTTGGCTGGCTAGCGCTGGTTGGCTCGCTGGCTGCAAAAGGTTGTGCGGTGTAAGAAATGGTCCATTTCCAGCGAAGGAGGCTGGGGACCAATTTTTAAATTACCTACTAAATGTGACCCAGGAAGAGAGTCATGTGGAAGACCAGGTTTTCAAGGCTGATGAGACTAGGTTGTGTTACGAAGACTGTCAAACCAACCTTTATCATGCCAGCAGCCTCCAAAGCCCCTGACTTTGCTTTTTATTATCATTAAAAGATCATTTTATTGCGCGCTCTTACACTCGTATAACAATCCATGCATCCATTGTATCAAGCACATTTGTACATACGTTGCCATCATCATTTTAAAAATATTTTCTACTTGAGCCCTTGGTATCAGCTACTCTTTTTCCCCTCCTCCCCTCCCCACCTAGATATGCACTTTAGAGTAAGAGCAAAAATATGCCCTCCCCATCTCTACAGAAAAGTGTGCATGGCTGCTACATGGGCACACAGGTGGGTGGTGGGGAAAGAGATGAGCAGAGAAAAGGGGGGACACAATACTGGTGAGGGTCCAGCAGGGCTCTGTGGGCATCCTCCCTCGACTGGACCATATAATTTTTAAATTTTTAATCATTTTATTGGGAGCACTTACAGATATCATAACATTCCGTAGCACAATCACATCAAGCAGTATTGTACAATTGCTACCACAGTCCATTTCAAAACTTCTTCTTTCTTCTTGACCTCCTTGCCGCCAGCTCCCCTTTGGACCATAACATTTTGAGAGGGGTGAGCCAAGAACAACTCTGGCACTCTCTACCGGTTTTGCCGAGAGCTTCCTGGGCATAGGCGGTTCATTGCCAAACTGAAATGACTACATTCTGACCTTTATTGCAGCACGGGGGTTTGGCTCATGATGGGTTACCATTTACTTATCTTAGGTAAATAAATGATGGGATTGATCACTATTATAAGTCCGAAACCACAAGCCCTTCATTTTTGCAGTCATGCCACTACCCACCCCCTCTCCAAAATGACCATCTTCAGGAGCCTAACTGAGATCAGTAGGCAAGGGCAAGAGAGGAGAAAGGAAGTGTAGGAGACCAGGAGTGGACCCGATGTGTTCTCCAGAGAACTCCCCAGGGGTCAGGGCCCAGCAGGGTGGGCTAGGGAGCAAGTAGTCAGAGGTTCTTCTAACTACCTCCGCTCTGCCCTGCAGCTGGGACAGATAGAAATTTTCAGAGACCTTTTGGGGTGCTAGCCATGAGGCAGCGGTTCAAATTCACCAACCACTTGGAGAGAGAAAAAATGAGGCTGTCTGCTCCTTACAGCCTTGGAATCCCAGGGAGTCGTTCTTTGCCAGGTAGGGTTACTGTGAATTGCACTGAACTCCATAGCAGTGGGCTTGGGGATTTTTTAGTGGTCTCGGCTTCCATCTGAAGCTGCGTACTGTGGGAAACAGCAAAGCTGTTCCCAGGACAATCCCCCGTCATATCTGCCAAACCCAAGGTGCTGACTATCCACTTGGAGGTCAACTGCTTAAAGGTTATCTTCCTGAAGGTCCCACCCTAAGGAGAGTCCACTCCCTTCTGATCAGGATAATGGATGATTCCCCTGAAGGAGAGCCCAAAGACATCTAAGGTCAAGGCAACTCAGGGAACACCAAGGTTAGGTTGCCATCTTGACTCTAGAGCCCACCTATCGTGTTACATGTATGTCTTCCTGTCACATGTGTGGCTCTAGTGCCTCCCCTTCCTATTGCGTGTACACCCCTAGCATGTCTCCCTCCTGTTATGTGTATGCCTATTGTACAACCCCTTCCTGTTATGCATGTGGTTACCTGTAATTAGGGAGGCTTGCACACCTCTAGAATGCATATAAGCCTTGGTTGGAAATACATTCTCTCTGTGAGTGGATCTGGCTGCTGAACTCATGATGGTCCCGGAGGTCAGCAATCACATGCTTTATCTTATCTGATGTCTCTTTGATTTTACCCCTCAATTACACACAATGTACCCCACAAGGTATGGCTTAGGGCAAGATGAGTCAGCCTCCATCAGACCCTCCTGCCTGGGCGTATGAGGTACAGGAAGCTCTGACTTCTTGCTCTCAAGTTCCTTCTCAGACATGTATGAGTGGCTGTGGTTTGGTTTTCTCCAGACAACCCAGCCCAACACAGATATACTGGGTTAAGTAAAATATGTCAAAAGGAATATCACCAATTGCTTTTGATAGGTTGCTGGCATTGCATTTCTGTTGGAAAGTGCTGCTCTCTGGTTAAGACTCTGGTTTTAATCTGCCCTCTGGACTAGTTAACGGCTTTCTCTGTGGTCTTCCAACTTCCTATTATGCCTGCCTGACTGATCGAATGCAGGATGGAGGGAGCATTGCTGCTTGGCTCTTAGGAGGAGCTGCAGTAGTGTAGTAGTGGTTTAGGTGTTGGGCTGTTCATCATAAGGTAAGTGGTTCAAAGCCCATCAGCTGCTCAGCAGGAGAAAGAGGAGGCTTTGTACTTCTTGTAAAAATTTACAGTGTCATCAACCTACAGGGCAGCTCTGTCTGTCCTGTAGTTTCCCTATGAGTCAGACTTAATTCAATGGCAAGAAGTTGGGGTAGTTTTGGTGTTTTTTCCTGCATCCTGATCCTCCTGATAATCCTGTGTCCTCTCCTGGGTTCATCTCGGCGCAAATAGGAGGGAGGAGAGCACATGGGTTTACAAGCAGAGGACACAAACTGTCTGAATCTCACATTTGTTGTTGTGGTTAGCATTGGGTGCCATCCAGTTGGTTCCGAGCCGGCAACCCCACAGCACCACAGAATGAATCACTGTCCGGTCCTGCGCTAGTCTCACAATCGGTGAGAGGCTTGGCCCCTTGTGGCAGCCACGGGGTCAATCCATCCCCTTGATGCCCTTTCTCTTGGCTGCCCCTCCGATTTACCAAGCACAGTGTCCTTTTCCAGGGACTGCGTCTCTTCTGATCACATGTCCAAGGTATATGAGAAGTCTCACCATGCATGCTTCTATGGAGTGTTCTCGTGTTCTGGTTGTCCTTCCAAGACGTGTCTGTACTTCTGACAGTCCACCGTCTTTTCAAGGTGCTTAGCCATCACTATCACTCAAACTTATGGATTCTTCTGCTGTCTGCCAGATGGACCGGCCAGCTTCCACGTGCCTAGGAGGTGATCAACACCACCACAGCTTGGGGTCAGGTGCAGTTGAGACCTCAAAGTGACATCTTTGCGCTCACACAGATTTACCCAATGCAATGTAGAGCCCTGCAGACCAGCACCAAATCACTTGGGGCTCCTGCTTCTGTATCTGTGAAATAGGCGGGGCCGGGGTGGGGTGGGGAGTAAGATTCTGCCTCCCAGAATTTTTGAGAGCATTAAATATGATGAGCAGCATTCTTAGGAGAGGGTCTGACATTCACCAGCCACTGAACTATTTTTTTTCCTCACAATTACTCCATGGCCATTTAGGGGCATCTGAGGTGGAGGGGGCTGCTCCTTGGGATGGGCTGCTATTTCAGGGGAGCTGCCTCCTTGCCTGGGGACTCAGAAGTATGAGGCAGGGGCACCTCTGTGTGACAGGAACCAGGAGCCTGCTGGTCCCAGCCACGGACTCACCAGCTGGCCTCTGCTCTCTGACTGGAAACGCCCATTGGTGGAACTGCCAGCGGGGTGGCCCTCTTCCATGCCTCGCCCAGACTGGAGCAAGCCGACACACTTCTCCACAGAAGGATTATGGGAAGATCCATTCTCAAAGCCTCTTCCTTCCTTCTCTGCGATCCTGAGGAAGAGGTGGGCATCAGCTGCTGGTGGGAGGAGAGCGAGGAGTCCAGTCAGTGAGAATTACCTGGGCTGGAGTCTGAGGCCCAGGGTGGTGAGGTGGTGGGCCCAGGGCAGAAAGCCCCTGACCAGGGAGGTCCTTCATATCCCCTCTGGAACCATCCCACAATCCTCCGGGGGAGGACAGCCCTCTGGGGAGGGAGAGATGTTGGAGTTTGGGTGGAACCTCAAAGGGGATGCAGACACTACTGTTTCTATCAGTTGAGCGATGTGAAGTAGTTCTCTGAAAGGCACTGCTTTTGACAGATGCCGGAATAAATAGGAGAATGTGTCTCCTTCTCTCACCCCTTCAGCTTCGAGTACCGTCTGTCTGTTCAGCATGACCTCTGAGGAGGATGGCGGCAGGGGGCAGCGGGGAGAGTGTGTGGGTTTATGGCAGTTCCATAATCTA